ACTCCCAATCTACTGAATTTGGGCACGCTCTCTCTGTTTAGTTCAAACTGCCTAAGTGATTCTTACGCAGCCAGTTTGGGAGTAATGTCATCAAACACAGTCTGAGGCAAGAGGTGGGTAGGCTGCTGGTCGTGGACCTGTCCCCTTTCTGCTCCTTGGTTCACTGTCTGGGAATTGAGCCAAAAGAGATGATCTTTAGGCTCCTTCCCTTCCTAAAGTTTTGTGATATATAAAAACCCTTACACTTGGGTATTAGAAAATTATTTATTTTTCCTCATACTTGTAATTGTTTTCCATAATCTTTAAAATTTGTGTAAAATAGTATATTTACTTTGTAAGTGCACGTAGATTTAAAATTCAAATAATATTACAAGACTTAAAACAAAAAATAAATTTGCTACCCCTCAGACCCACTCCGCAGACCACTTTCCACTCTTCTCTGTTTACCTCTAAGTGATAATACTGCCATTTCTAGATTGATCAATTATAGACATTGACTGACTTTTTCCTAGGGTAGATTAGGAGTTGCCTCTTTGAGAGCTTTTTTTAAGGTACAGCCTAACTTACACCTCTTTCAAATGAATAGTAGTGATGATTTTTTAAAGCATGTTAGGCTTTACTTTTTGCTTCGGGAATTGTCACTGCAGACTTGCTATACGAGGTGATGCAGTGTTTAAAGTAGCTCGTTCAGTAGTTAGCGGTGTTTCCATTTCTGTTTTTACTTTTGTTCATCACCTCATCCTTCTGATAATGTCCTGTTGATTTGCCATGATTTTAATTGATCAATCTTAATTCCTAAGTCAATAAAACATTTGAAACTCATTCTGCTTTTCATGACTCAAAAAAAATGTTGTGTAAGCAGTTATAATAGTTTAAACTATTTATCCAATAATTATGTGATTGTGAAATGCAAAGAGGAGGGTGGAGGCAATGCTGACAGTTTTGAGTGCATGTGCAAGTTAACAGTAGTTTTCATTGAATTTTTACTACAGCACTGAGTAGTAGATTCCTGCCCGCCCCCCATCTTACATATAAAGAAACTGAAGCTCAGAGAAATGAATTGCCCATGGTCCCCATAGCTAGTTACTAGAAGGATTTAGATCCCCATTGCTTGGACTCCAGAATCCACTACAGGTGTATATGAATTTTTTTAAACTGTTTAATTGAAGCATAAGATACGTGCAGAGAGCAAAGCATTAGTATAGAGCTCAATGAATTACCAAAATAAAACAGGAATGTAACCATTACTAAGTTAAACAACAACAAAAAAGGATGTTACCAGCATCCCAGAGGGCACCCCTCATGTGCCCTCCCAATTACCACTCTCCGCCCATTCCTCCAAAGATAACCGTTATCGTGACACCATAGATTGATTTTGCTACGAGTGTTAGCAGTTTTTGGACATAACTTGAAGCTACTCCTTAATTCATATGTCCTTTTACATTTTCTGTTACCACATGTAGAAAATGAGTGCCAGTTTTTCTTTAAAGAGACCCACCAACTCCATTTTTTTACAGGAAGAAAAAAAGTATAAATTTTGTACAGTCACATGAATTTATTGCTTTGTGTTAAATGTGTCCCTGTTTTAGGTAAATAATTGCAATTTCATGGCTCTTTAGTCCGAGTAACTATGAAGAACTCTTTAAAACCAGTGATTTGTCACACCAGAATAGAAGTGTAGACGTGAGTCCTACTGAAGGGGTTTTGTGTAAATGTAATGTTAAGTTTGAAAAATATTGCAATAGGATCATTGTAAGTACTGTTTGCCTTTAGCCAGTGTTTTTTAAAACAATATTTGGTTTAACGGTTAGTAGGCCAAATAATTGCAGTATTTTGAAAAAAAATTAGTTTTAGGAATTCTCATCTGATATGTAACTCATGAGCACAGTGATCATTTTAGCAGTTGTAAGCAAATTTTCATCTTGCAAGTGCCTTCTTTATTTTCCTAAGAATACTGATTTATACCTGAGATAGCCAGGTTTTTGACTCCAGGCATTTATTTAATGTGGATTCTCTAGATGAAGGGGAAAAATTCCCTACTGTATGTATGAAGAAGATAGGCTATTAGTATTTAAGTATTTAAACACATTTCTCTTTAAATATTTTTTTATAATTATGAAAAGAGAACACATTTGTTGTAGAATACCTGAAATGTGCAGGAAAGTGCAAAGAAGAGAAAAATCTGCTGATATTTTGTGGTATTTGTCTTTTTGTTCCTCATATATGTGAATGTTTTTAATAAAATTGGGCTTATAAAATGTGTTGTTTCTCAGCCTCCTTTTTTCTGTTAATATTTATAATTTGAAAATGCATGTTTATTACATATTTCTTTGAAAACATTAATAGTTGCATAATAACTTCAAACTCATGTGTCACTTTATTTAACCATTCCTTTGTTTTTTTAAGTGGGAAGGTCAGTTTTTGAGTTGGGGTAGGGTTAGAGTCATGTGAGTGAACTGGAGACATCCAGGATTCCTCCCACATTTCTTCTTCAGGTAACTAGGATAGATGCTGGTGTCATTTATTAATATAGGGGCCATACAAAGGAAGAGCAAATTTGCTCGAAGCTTTGTTTTGGGGATAGAGAACTTGACGTGCCCGTGGGCCGCTAGGGAGAAATGTCTGTCGGGCAGATGGATAGTTGAAGCTAAGAAGAGAGATCTGCACTGGAGAGAGGGATCTACGGACCACTGGTGCTAGATTTGGTATCAACCACAGGCCAAAGATCTGCTGCCTTGGGAGATCACACGGTGGAGAAGAGGGCCAAGGATAGACCCCCTGGGGAGTGTCAGTGGTCAAGTGTTCGGAGGGATGCAGAGAAGCACGTGGAAGAGACAGAGCACCAGAACTGGAGAGAAGGTGGCATTGTGGTTGCTGAAAGAAGAGAAGAAAAGAGGGATGGACAGTAGTGTCCTGAGTCATGTTACAGAGGTGTGGGAGGAGACCCACTGGCAAGTGTCTGTTGGGCTTGGCAATTAGAAGGTCATCAGTGAGAGAAGTTTCAAGGGAGTGGTGGGGACAGAAGGAGGGAGTGGCAGGGGAATAGTGGGTGAGGAAATGTGTGTGGTAGATAGAGCTGGAAGAGCAGAGGTGGGACGGATGTGTGGAAGGAGAGTTTTGTTTTTACTGGGTGTAGACCTGGACAGCTTTATGTGCTGATGAGAAGGGCCCAGCTGAAAGAGATTGAAGTTGCTGGAGGAGGGGGGTTGATGATCAAGCAGAGGACCAGAGGAGAGTGGTGGGTTTGGAGCAGAGGTGGAGGGATTAAGCTTGGATAGGAGGGAGATTGTTTCACTGAGAAAGCATGGGGTAGATGGGAGTAGCTGCTGGCACGGTGGGGGTCACTGGCAGTAGTTCAGTTTTCTCAAGACATTGGCCAAGAATGAGGCAGATTGGGTGGGAGATGGGCTTGAGGGCGGTGTCAAGATTTGGAATATCTGTGGTGGGGAGTAGGGGGTGGATGGACCGAAGCCCAGAGAATAACCATAGCAGCACTGTGGTTCCCTAGATACGATGATTTATGCAAGGTTGCATGAATCCCCACCAAAGTTCCAGGGAAAGGTAGAGAGAAGTCTCTTGACTGCTTGCGTCCTCAGGGGAGTCTTCCCTGATGTCCGAAGTTAAATTTCTTTATTATAGGTTCTCATAGCTCTGTTCTTTTCTTCTAGTACTCATTAGAGTTGTAGTTTTGCATTTGGTTCTTGCAATTGTTATTTTAATTATAAAAGTTTACTTTCCCCGGTAACTAAAAGCTCTGAGGAAAGATATGTCTGATTTTGCTTACCACTGTAGTGTCTGGCACCTCGTAGCTACTCGGTAAATGTTTTTTGAATTTAATGAATCAAATACGGTGGTTCTCGGGCTTCCCTGGTGGCGCAGTGGTTGAGAATCTGCCTGCTAATGCAGGGGACACGGGTTCGAGCCCTGGTCTGGGAGGATCCCACATGCCACGGAACAACTAGGCCCGTGAGCCACAACTACTGAGCCTGCGTGTCTGGAGCCTGTGCTCCGCAACAAGAGAGGCCGCGATAGTGAGAGGCCCGCGCACCGCAATGAAGAGTGGCCCCCACTTGCCACAACTAGAGAAAGCCCTGGCACAGAAACGAAGACCCAACACAGCAAAAATAAATTAATTAAAAAAAATACATTGGTTCTCAACCTTTTAAATCTGCCCCAGCACACCTGTGGAATATTACTTTCTTCCATCTGAACCGTTATTGACTGCCCTGAGGCTTCCTGAGGGAGAGCAGGTGTCAGGTAGTGTGGGGTAGTGGTTAATAGATCACAGGCCCTGGAATGAGAATGCCTGGGCTCATGTCCCAGCCCCACCTCTCATCAGCTTCGTGACCTTGGGCAAATTCTTAATCTGTGGCCCAGTGTCCTCATCTGAAAAGTGTGGCTAGTAATAGTACCTGCCCCATGGGGTTGTCATGAATCTTGCATGAGAGTTCACGGAAAGCTTGTAGAACAGCATGTGATATGTAGAAGTTACTTATTACTGCTAGTGGTTTGAAAAAGCCTCCCAAGTAATTTTGATAATCATTCCTGAGACTCCATATATTAAATATTGATCTTCAGGGAAACTGGGAAGACATCCCTGGACTGTGATGGCACCCTGAAACAAAAGCATTCTTGGTCTTGTAGGAGTATCAGTAAGAAATAGTAGGAATGTCACGTGACTACAGTTGGCCCTTGAACAACTCCAGGGGCTAGGAACACCTACGTTCCGGCACGGTGGAAAATATTCATGTAATTGGTAGCCCTCCGTGACCTTGGTTCCTCCATATCTTCGGATTCAGCCAACAGCGGATGGTGTAGTACTGTATACATTTACTAATGAAACATATCTGTGTGTAAGTAGACCCACACAGTTCAACCCCGTGTTCAAGGGTCAGCTGTAGTCATTTCGGTAGCCATCCTGGCTGCGGGATGAGGGATGGGTGGATGCTGTCTGCTTTTACACCTGCTGTGGTAAACTTGATTTTTTGTCTCCTCTGCAGAGGAGGTGGCCAAGTTGGAGAAGCACTTGATGCTTCTCCGACAGGAGTATGTCAAGCTGCAGAAGAAATTGGCAGAGACAGAGAAGAGATGCACCCTTTTGGCTGCGCAAGCAAACAAGGAAAGCAGCAAAGAGTCCTTCATCAGCCGCCTGCTGACGATTGTGGCCGACCTCTACGAGCAGGAGCAGTATAGGTGAGCTCCTGGCACTGGGCCAGTGTGGGGAAGCAAGCCCTTTTGCTTTATTCACAGGCTACATTGCAGCTTCTCCTCTTACTGACTTTCTTCCCAAGTTTATTTCTCTCTACTAGTTGACCAGCCTTTAGTCTCTGGAATGTAGGCCCCTTGAGGCAAGATTTTGTCTCTTTTGTTTGCTGCTTGTATTCAGTACAGAGTATAGGAGTGATGGTGATAGCATCGCTGGCATAGATAGGAATTAGCTTACAGGTCCAGGGATTCAGAGGGGAGAGGTCACTTTCTCTTGAGCTGGTCAAAGAGGGCATCTTGGAACTAGTGGGTAGTGTAGCGTGATGGTTGAGGGTGGACTTTGGAGCCACACAGCCTGTGTTAGAAGCTCAGCTGGCCACTTACTGGCTATGTGACCTGGAGCTATATGACATGCCTCAGCCTCCTAATCTGTAAAATGGGGATAATAATACGACTGTTTACCTTAGGGTTGTTGTGAGGATTAAATTAATAAACTACTGTTTAAGCACCTAGAACAACAGTCTAGCATATAGTAAGTGCTCAGTTTTTACTTGTTATTAAAACAGTATTGTTATTAAATGAGTTTTGAGGTAAAGGTTAAAGGCTGAGTAGGATTTAATAGATAAAGGCAGTGATATTACTAGTAGAGGGAGTGGCTGAGAATAGGCTCAAACGTGGGAACCTGCGGAGGATTTAGAGGACAGTGAGGGGCCCATTTTAGGGTTCATGTCCATGTAGGGGAGCACTGGGAGAGGTGGGTAAGTTAGGGTGGATTGGGGATGCCACGGTGAGGAATTTGGACTTGATCCTCTAGGAAGTGTGGAACAGTGTTTTTGAGTTAATAGGACTATCATAATCAAAGTGGTGTTTTAGGCAGATTAGTCTGGTAACATCGTATAGATGAAATTATAAAGAGACAAGAGCAGCCATGATGTTGTCGTAAATAGTCCAGGCTGGAAGTGATGAAGGACTGAGCTGGGATGTGGTTGTGGAAAAGAAACATGGACATGAATGTGTGTGGAAGGAAGGATTTGCCTACTAGGGAGAAGGATGATTGGATTAGATGATTAAAATTTTGAAATTATGACATTTAAAATAGATCAAAATCCAGGATTGCCATCTACCATCTTAATCATTTCTAAAAGAAAAGAAAAAATTAATACCAAAAAAATAGGAAGTACATACTCTGAGTAAAGGACAGGGCTTTCCTTAAATCTAATGGATGTATCTACTTGTAAAATATAGTTCATTGTCTTTTTTTCTTTTCGCCCTCCTCTTTTTCCCATGGACAAGTGAAAACTTTGTTTCCATTGGCCCCAGGAAGCCTGGCATTTCTATTACAGACACAGCTCTCCCGCTGTCCAAGGCTCTTACCCGTTAGAATTCCCATAATTTACTTTCTGTAATACGTAACAGTTGATTGCATTCCTTTTTAAAAAAAAATTTATTTAATTAATTAATTTTATTTAATTAATTGATTTTTGGCTGCACTGGGTCTTTGTTGCTGTGTGCAGGCTTTCTCTAGTTGCAGCGAGAGGGGGCTGCTCTTCATTGGGTTGCGTGGGCTTCTCTTGTGGAGCACGGGGCTCTAGGTGCGCAGGCTCAGTAGTTGTGGCTCGTGGACTCTAGAGCGCAGGCTCAGTAGTTGTGGCGCACAGGCTTAGTTGCTCCACAGCATGTGGGATCTTCCCGGACCAGGGCTCGAACCTGTGTCCCCTGCATTGGCAGGCGGATTCTTTACCACTGCACTACCAGGGGAAGTCCCTGATTGCATTCTTATACTGTAGTCCTTCTAGGAGACTGGGAATGAGACTGGGCAGTTTCCTCTTCTGGCCACTTTTTACCTGGTCGGCTATGGTATGATCCCATGGTTCTGGTGGGTCTCTCTTCCTCTTCTAAAACCTGTCCTTTATCAAAAGAAGGCTGAATACCTTTGTTATCTACAATTGATAATCAGATGAGGAATGGAGACTTCAAAGAGGACTTACCTTTTGAGATGGGATAAGTGAAACTGGAATATCAATTTCTGAAGCAGATGCTCTTTTACCAAGATGGGGGGGAAAAATACTTTGTCCCATGAACATGCATTTTGTTGAATTTAAATAGTGTTTTTATGTGTATTTCAGTAATTGGAATAACTGAAGAGTCAGTGTTAACATTTTTAAATTGAGCGATGTGGAAGAAATTGGTGCATTTCTTTTATTCTTACTTATGTTCAGGAGGAGGCTTTGGTCCCATAAGACAGTTAAAAATGATGGTTATATGTAGTTATTTACTACCATTCTTTTAGCAAACAAGCTTATAATTTTTCCTGTTAAAGTGTTTGATTGAGACACTCTAGCAAGAAGCTCTTTATTTATGTTTCCTCTCCAGTTGTCACATCCTAGCATCCATATTTTAAAAGGAAATGCTTTTAATTGACTAGGATGAAATTTTAAAAAATTGCTAGCCTCCTAATTGTTTCTGCATAGAGTCCTCATAGACTTGACCTGTCCAATTTTACATTTTTGAATCATATTTTTTAAAATTATTATTATTAGAGATTAGTGAAATCCTTATATTTATTTCCCTTTGAGATGTTAAGACTACAGAAGAAAAAGTTTTGACTTGACATTCATGAATAATAGTAGGAATTTTATAGAAACATACATTTTTATAATTTTGTGGCTAAAGTCAGGTTTGTGGCAGAAACAGTAAACAGTGACTGTTCATTTACATGATTAGAATTTAATACTTTACAAATAAATTTAGAGTGTAAAAATTATTTGTGCTTTGTTTTCATTACATTTTTTAAACCTTATCATAGGATATGATATGAGACAGTTTTATCTTCCATTTTAAATAGAATATCAATTGTATTTCTTCTTTATTAATAGTGTTTTGTGTTAACAGTATTTTCTAATAGTTTGAAATAATAAGTACCCTATTATTCTTTTGATCTAACATAATTAGTTGCAACTTGGTTAGTTCTTTAATAGAAGTAGAATTGATATGCTTACATAATTATAAATATGTTCTAGACAGTGCTTGTGTGGGGTAAAATGTGTTTGCATCAAGCGTTATATAGAAGCAGTATTCTGTTTGCATCTCCTTTTAAGTGGATGAGTCAATTCATGTAATAGTTTTTTCTTTCTTTCTTTCTCTCTCTCCACCCCCCCCCCCCCCCTCCTCTCCCTGACTCCTGGGTTCCTCTCATTTCCTTTCTCTCTTTCTTTCTTTCTTTCCTCTCTCTCTCTCTCTCTCTCCCCCGCCTCCCTCCCTCTCTCCCTTCCTCTCTCCCTTTCTCCCTCTCTCTCTCTCCCTCTCTCTGAATTTAGTTTCTGAAACCTTTCCAGCCTAACAAATTATTTTCAACGGGAATATAAAAATAAAAAGACATGCAGATACAAGCAGAGTGTTGCTGATTTGTGCCTGTGGATTGCTGCCAGCGTTGCCATCTGGCACATGCTTGTGTCAGCCCAGTAGGTCACCCTTAGGTTTTCGTTAACTGCCCGGATGCTTTCCCACCTTGACATTTGACATTTCAGAGTTAAAAATAAATAACTATTTGGAAAGCTCTTTTCATGTAGTGGTAAGTCATACATATGGAAACATGTTTGAAAAAAAGATTTCTCTCATCCCATTTCTTTATAAATGATTGAGTAAAAAATGGCCAATAATAGGTCTGAATGTTTCTCGTGGGAACAGGAGTGTAGATATCGGGTTTCATATTCTTGACTGCTTTGTCAAAGCTAATTTGTTCATGGTTTTTGGTTTAACCTTGCTTGAGCATTAATATAGCGTGGAGCATTGCAGCACTGTAGTCTCAGAGCTGTCATCACAATCTTTAATCTTTCTATCTCTCTCTCCTGATGATTAATCTTGATTTTTTTTCCTTCATAAAACCTCTTCAACTCTTTATATGAATATTAATAATCCTGTGTATTGATAACTTGTAGGTTCACCATCTTGTGGGTGACATTAGGGAATGTCTTTGAAAGCAGAACATCCCACGTGAACTAAAGCTAGAAGTTAGAAATAGAAAATGTGTCTAGCAACATATTGTAAATATGAGCCATCAGAATTCAGTGGTAGCATAGAGAAATAATTTTGCTGTGATTTTTTTTTTTCTTTTGCAGATGTATGTTGATCAGTCAATACTCGTATATTTATCAGCTGTGAATCCTAGCTATACCTAGTTATAATGACATTTTATATCTGTGGGTATTTTTCTTCATCAGTGATCTGAAGATAAAGGTTGGGGGCAGGCACATCAATGCTCACAAGTTTGTCCTGGCGGCCCGCAGTGACAGCTGGAGTCTGGCCAGTTTGTCTTCCACCGAGGAGCTGGACCTGTCAGGTGAGCCTCTGACGGGCTGGGGACTCAAAACTCCCAGCACAAGAGCCCTTGGCAGAAGGTTATGGTGTGTAATTTTGAAATATTTGTGGTTTAATGAACGTAGAATACTTTTCTTATAAATTGATGGGACCATAAACTAGTTAAATAATTAGTGAATCAGTAGGTTGTACTTTGTGGGCACTTCTGTTTAATATCTGGCTAATAAATCATAAATATTTGAGGATTCGGAGTATTCTTAGAATTTATAAAATATGAATATTTATCCAGAAACTCTTTTCATACAGTAGTATGTTATAAATATGGGAGCATGTGTAGAGAAAAATTTTTCTTCCACTCTAAGAAAAAGTCCTGCTGCTGTTCAGTTGCTTAAAATTTAATCATAGCTGCCAAAAGTACTTTTCCTGGTCTATAAGAACTGAATTCAGAAGTAACATTTATTCCAAAGAATAAGAATATTCTTTCTTTAACATCAAAGGATGACCATCAGTCTTCAGGATTTGAATAAGTGCATTGAGCTGTTTAATGTTATTATTTAATTGTTTTATGCCACAGTATGTTGTGTAGAATTTGGGTAAATATGGTGGTTAAGTAAACTTAAAAACATCGTTTTCAAAAGTTGATTTCAAAATTGCATTTTCACTTAGTACTTGCCTAACAGCTGCTTAAAAAAAAGTAAAAAGAGCAAATTTTGAATTTAATTCTGATATTAATAATCAAGAGAATTATAACGTGGTAAGGAGCATACCCAGGCATTAAGATATGAGTTACTTGCAGAAGTGATTGACTGTGTGGAAAGTCTGATTTATGTCTTTGTTCAAAAGGTTTGCCAATTCAGAAGGTACTGTTTTCCATGTGTAGTGTTAGGAACACTGAGATGATTATAACACCATCCTTGCCATACAGAGCTCATACTCTGTTGGAGGAAATGGGCTGTTAACAAATCATTTAAGGCCAGGGCTGCATATACAGTAGTATAATGGTTTTATGTCTAAGGTACAGAAGAGACTAACTTGGGCTGATAAGGAACGTGTCAGAGGTGGCTAATACCTGAGCAGTGTTGCACAGGTTAAATAAGCATTTATCTCAAGAATTTAGGGGGTAAATTGTCTAATGCTTCTCCACTGTGAGTGAACTCTGTCTCATGATCATTTCTAGGATTTAACCTGAGGTCCGTGATTCATAGCTGTAAACACACAAATATTCATACATGCATATACATGAGCATATGCATTCATGCCTATAACTAAAACATCTACTTGGGAAACGGTCTTTACTGGAAGGGCACCAGTCCACATGATTGAAATCTGAACAGTTTTTCTTTTTTAAAAGTAAAATCTTTTGAAGCCTTATATCTTTGACCTCATATGACATAATTATGGATAACTTTTATTTATTTATTTATTTATTTTTTAATTATTATTATTTTTTTTTGCATTACGCGGGCCTCTCACTGTTGTGCCCTCTCCCGTTGCAGAGCACAGGCTCCAGACGCGCAGGCTCAGCGGCCATGGCTCACGGGCCCAGCTGCTCCGCGGCATGTGGGATCTTCCCGGACCGGGGCACGAACCCGTGTCCCCTGCATTGGCAGGTGGACTCTCAACCACTGCGCCACCAGGGAAGCCCCCAATTATGGATAACTTTTAAAACCCATTGGATCATGAGGTGTTCTTCACAGTGCATGATAGGATCTTGATTACATGAACAGGTAGTTTTCAAAGACTAGTAGAGATAATAAAATATTGAAAATATTCAACTTTGTTAGAAAAAAGTTTAGAATAAGTTACCACCTTTTGATAGCTACAGTATCAGAAATTGATGATCCCGGGCTTCCCTGGTGGCGCAGTGGTTGAGAGTCCGGCTGCCGATGCAGGGGACACGGGTTTGTGCCCCGGTCCGGGAGGATCCCACATGCTGCGGAGCGGCTGGGCCCGTGAGCCATGGCCGCTGGGCCTGCGCGTCGGGAGCCTGTGCCCTGCGAGCCTGTGCCCCTCACCGGGAGAGGCCACAACAGTGAGAGGGCCGTGTGCCGCAAAAAAAAAAAAAAAAAAAAAAAAGAAATTGGTATTCTTGCACACTGCCAGTCACATTATAAATGGGTATGAAGGGTTTAGAAAGCAGTTAGACAGCTGAGCTATAAAATAGTCATACTTTTTTTTTTTTTAACCTCATCATCTGACTTCTGTCAGATGGATTCTGTTATAGGTAATTCAGACAGTGTAAATGTTTATCATGGTAAATGTAACTGTGAAATATTGCATACAACCAAAATGAATGAGTGGGAAAAATAAAATATGACTGCTCCCCAGAACAAACAAAATTATGTAAGAACACAGAAAATTGCATTAATGTATGAAAAGCTTAAACATTGAACTTAAAATTTTGCTTTTACTTTTTTAGTACATTAGAACATTTAAGAGCTGCTTTAACACTATCTGTGACTATCTGACCACAAGATTGGATCACTGACAAGCAGGAGATTTTCTAGAGTTTAGGAAGGTATAATGTTAATGCCTTTAAATGTCCCTGAACATGCCTCCTGCTGTAAAATAATCAGCATGGTTTGATCCGGGCTACAAGGTTTGCTTTCAGGAGTGAGCGGTTGCAGAGTCAATGTTTCTGGTGGCTTTGGTAAATCAGGCATCTACTAAGATAGCTGGTAGTGGAGCTTATGGTATCTTTTCTTTTCTTTTCTTTTTTTTTTGGCTGCATTGGGTCTTCCTTGCTGCGCGTGGGCTTTCTCTAGTTGAGGTGAGCAGGGGCTACTCTTCGTTGTGGTGCGCGGGCTTCTCATTGTGGTAGCTTCTCTTGCTGCAGAGCACAGGCTCTAGGTGCCCGGGCTTCAGGAGTTGTGGCTCTCGGGCTCTGGAGCACAGGCTCAGTAGTTGTAGTGCACGGGCTTAGTTGCTCTGCGGCATGTGGGATCTTCCCGGACCAGGGCTCAAACCCGTGTCCCCTGCATTGGCAGGCGGATTCTTAACCACTGCACCACCAGGGAAGCCCATCTTTACTTTTCTTTATAAAGTTTATCTTTGAAGCGTGTCTTCGAAGGGTTCAAAGGAAGTGGTTGCATTTGTGGACCTGTTCATGTTTGTGTGTCTTGAGCAGAGTCCTGCTGAGTTGCCTGGGTGGGCGTGGGTGTGATTACCTAAATCTGGGCTTGCAGCAACTGAAACTGCCTGAGAAGCCTGTGTGTTATACGATAACCTGGAAGCACTACTGCCCGTGGCTGCCTCGCGCCTGAGGGAGATTGGAAATAGACTCTTGTAAACAAGTGTATAAATAGCGTAAAAGCTGTGTTTTAAATGGTTGAACCTTTTCCACACTCATGAACTTAATAAAATCATTTTATGAATTTATTGGTATTTTGTTTCTTCAGAATTAGTCCATTAATATCACAAATGCTGAGTGGCAGGCACTTTTCAAGGTACTAGGGTTATAGCAGTGAACAAAATTAAATTCTTATTTGTATGGAACTTACATTCTTAGAGAGTGACATCCTAAGTCTCACATTTTCTTTGGAGGTTCTTGTGTAACTGATATTTCTTAAAATTTAAAATAAGCACAACTTTAATTCTATTAATTGTTATCAGAATTTTAGCACATGTTGATGAAGATACAGTAGGCATTATATACCAAGTGTTTAAAATGTATTTGGGTCATGAAAACATGAAAGTTTTCTTAAATCATACCTTGTTCAAAAAAGTAAAATATTGGGCTTCCCTGGTGGCGCAGTGGTTGAGAGTACGCCTGCCGATGCAGGGGGTGCGGGTTCGTGCCCTGGTCCGGGAGGATCCCGCGTGCCGTGGAGCAGCTGGGCCCGTGAGCCATGGCCGCTGGGCCTGCGCGTCCGGAGCCTGTGCTCCGCAACAGGAGAGGCCACAACAGTAAGAGTCCCGCGTACCGCAAAAAAAAAAAAAAGTAAAATATTTTGTGCTTGATGTGATGCAGTGACAAAGGCACAATCACTTCTGTAGGATTCTTGCCATAAATGCATGACCTCAATCTAATTATGGGAAAGCATCAAACTAACCCAAATTGAGGAACATTCCACAGAATAACTGGCCAGTATTACTCAAATATGTTAAGGTCATGAAAGACAAGATAAGATTAAGGAAGTGTTAGAGATTGGAGGAGACTAAGGAGACATCACATGAAATGCAGTGTGGTACCTCAGTTGGATTCTGGCCCATAAAAAGGACATTACTGGGATAGCTGGCAAAATTTGTAATTAGTTAATAGTACTGTATCGGTCCTAGTCACCTGGTTTTAATAATTGTGCTCTGGTTATGTAAGATGCTAATATTAGGGGAAGATGAGTAGAGGGCATACGGGAACTCTACAACTGTTTTGTTAAGTCTGAAATTGTTTCAAAATATAAAGGTAAAAAGTATAAATTTGCTTTTTATTTATTGGTTATTTTAAGTATAAAGATGTTTATAAAGATACTGACTGATCAGCTGGGAAGAGAAAGAATATAACTGTTAGCTCAACACAGTACAACAAATCTTGATGCACGGTATTTAACTTCTTTATGAAGTAAAGCAGTTTGCTTCAGGCTAAATGGTTTGTTTATAGCCTCTCTATAGCACTTCAGTAATAGCAGCTGACACTGAGCAGTTCCAATGCTGTAGAATGGCTGTTTTGAAGCTAGAATTTCTTGCATGCTTCCTCCAGCAAAGATCTTATGGTTCCCTGGCATGAGAGTTTATGGTGAGTCATTCAGCTTTCCTGGAATGTGTCCTGCATCCTGTCAAGCCATTCCAAAAACAGAAAGCATCCTCCTTCCCTTTTCGGTCCAGTTAGGAAAACTACACACCAAAGCACAGACCTGGGAGGTTGCACTCTGCAGTGTAAGGAGCATAGGGTCCCAGACTCTGTGCTCAGGCACACTAAGGTGCTCCAGCAAACTCACAGGGACAGTGGTATCTGTTAGATACCATGTGAACTATACTAGTTCTAGGTTGTTCAGTTTCAGTATTTTGAAGATATCTATGGTGGTT